AGGAATGCTTTGTGAGTGTTCTGGAGGTGTGTGCTACCATCCTGGAACAGAGACTTGCAGCTTGACCGATATGAGCAGGGAATAATAAAAAAGCCTCAGTGCCAGTGAAGTTCACAAGGTGTGGATTGCAGATGGCATCAAAACATTCAGATACATTCAGTGTGGTACTTGGTTTGATCTGAAACAAACTTGCTTAGCTGAGGATAGAGATCTGCACACAGTCACAAAGAGTAGTTACAAAGTTGAAAGAAGTCTGTCTTGACCCTTTTTTTAATTGTCAAACCAAGCTGTTTTGCTACAGGTTGTTTTTTTTCCTATCCTTAACAGTTAATTCTGCAGTACTAAGGACTGATACACACATGAGCTTTTGTGTTTCTTGCTCAGAGTAACCCTGAAGATTGTACCAAGATTCCACTGTTCCTTTTTGTAAAATCTGGACTTCTACCAGACTACAGTAGAACACGTTTCTGACACCTGATGGAAGATCAGTGACACTTTAAAGCTTCCTTGTAGCTTCAAGTTCACTGCTAGTTTGACATTCATGTTCTAAACCAGTTTGATACAGGACACACACAAGAGTGTTTTTCTGAGCCAGTTTCTCTGTGTATTGATCCCACAGAGATTTCTGAAGTGAGAGAATTTCTGATTCTCAGTTGAGGGACCAGCTGGGAACACTGTTCATTTATTTCACCAGCCAGCATAACGACTTCGGTAGAATTATTAAACAGAAATTAGAGCTCCAGTGTAAAAAGAATGACTTGGAGGGAAGCACGCAGCTGCAGATGCACCTTTCCCACAGCGTATCTAACATGTAACTACGCACTGGTTTACAACGTGTAGTAGCTGATGCAGCTGATCTGAGCTCAGAAGATGATCTCTGAGCTTGCAGCTCACTGGCAGGAGCTTTACTCCTGGGTAATCGCTGCTGGCTGAGATCTGAGGGACTTGTGGAGTGGGGCTCAGGAGGTGACACGCAGGATTATGACTTGCCCTGCAACACAAGGGCTTTAAGGGGTTTGCAGAAATCCTTATTCTCAGACGTGTTTAAAATCTGAAAGTGGTATTTGTTTAAGCCTCAGTGATGCTGTCTGTGGTGAGGGCACACACCTTGGGAAAGCCCTTTGTAGGTAAAAGTTTACTGTGATTTTGGGTAATGAAAGTATTAATAGGACAGGTGAGAGGGCAAATGGCACAAAGCTGGAAGTGCAGCACAGGTCGCAGCTGGCAGTCAAGGCAGTGTTTGGTACCTGTGGAGCAGAGGGGGACGTTAATGACCGAGGGGTCTCCTGTGGGACAGAGGCAGTTGATCTTCATGTGGGGAAAACTGGGGTGGTGGGTGACACCAGGGGAAAGTCTGTGCTGCAAACCCCTGAATTACCAAACTTTACCTCTGGTGCTGACTTGGATACCCTGCAGTCTGACACTGAACGAGTCTGGAAGTGATTGTGGCACCTCCATACCCTTGTAGATGTAGAGATGAGCCTTGGCCTTTTGCCCAGAGGTCTGCTCCTCCTTCCTGAGCCAAATCTGAACAGCTGGGTCTGCCTGACTGTTGTGCCATGGAGTGGCTAGGTGTGCCACAGCATGGATGGTGTGTGGTGGTGCTGCACTGCCTGTAGTCCCTCCTACCTGCTCAGCTGATCACAAGAAGGTCAGCATCAGCACTCCTAGTCACAGGTGGTGAAATGGACCTGGAACTTAGTAAGTGATTTTCACAACTCAAACAAAGTCAGAAGTGGAGGGGAGAGGGTTGGTGACCAATCTGTGGGGTACAGCCTGGTCTCACTTCTGCTGTCAGATCGGTGATCAGTATTTCCCGACGCTGATTGCCGTTGCTCCTTATGCCATTGTTTAAGAACAGAACAAAACACGTTTGAACAGCCTGCCACGCGTTAAGAGAAATACCTGCTTATTGTTGGGAAGGTGTCAACAGATGGCAGCATCCAACTTGGAATCACTGAAGACTGAAGGTGATCTGTGTTGTGAGAGGAGTCCCAAGAGGGCTTTGGCATTGCTGCTGGTCTCCCTGCTCCTTCTGCAGAGCTAAAAATCCTGACTTCTCTTGACTGCAGTCCACAAAGATATTTTTTTCTGTCTTTAGTGCAATAGAGCCTGATTTAAGGTGATATGAGAGCTGAGAATAAGTATGGATCTTTAAAATACAGCAACAGGGTAAAAAGCCTGGTGTGTGAGTGGGTTGACTGGAAATGTGCTGTCTCCTCATCTTTTTGTTTGTTTTCTGCCACAGGTAATTCAGTCCATTCCCCTGAATGAAGTGTGTTTTGTTTCTCAAACTTGTGCCAATTACTTGCACCAGAAATGCGAGCAGTAATTAAACCTTGATCTCCAATGTCTGAACAGTTATTTTGGAGACTCTTTCACGCCTACTGGAGTCTTGATGAAAGCCAGCAAGGATGGACAAGGACGTGTGTGGCAGCACAGCAGAAAGCAGGGAAAGAAAATGAGTTGAAGTGGTGAGTGAGGCTTTAGAACTTGCCCCAGTGGGTTTGGCACTGAGCAGTTATTTCACAGCAGTGAAAGAACAAGAAGTTGCTCATGGCTGGTGTGGGGGACCCTGACTGCAGTGTGGGAGAAATGGACCTGGGAGTCCTGGTGGACA